TATTTTCTCCAAACAAGTAGGAGGTTTAGCTTGCCCCAAGATGTGAGATGGAGCCAGTCACCCACCATGCTCTATCCAAATGTGTGTGGTCCCAGAATCCAGGCACTTGCCTATGATGGGATGTAACAAAGGGCCCGGTGGGTAAAGAGTGCTTTCAATAGCGAAAGCTAAGTTTGCATCAGATGAAGAGAAAAACTGGATTCTATCGGTAGCTCTGTGTTTAGCAAGCATTAGGAATGCTGGGTGACTTGAAGGAGCAGCTGATCAGACACCTTCAGAATTAGATGAAGCTGCCCACTCACTGCTTCTGAGTCTAAATTTCTTCACTCATGACATGAAGACCATAGCACTGAACTCAGTCATCATGCTCATTGCCTGGTGTACACAAAGCTCTGGGTTTCATTCTTTTACTGGAGGTAAAAAATATGTTTTTATAAGGAGAAAAGGAAACCCCAAACGTTGAGTCATCTTGAGATGTGGCTTCATGTGAGTCCCATGAATAATCAGTTCTAGCCCAGCATTTGTTTTTTATTTTTATTTTTTAAAAGTTATAATTCTTTTTTTTTCTTATTAGAGGAAGCATTTCATTACAGCTTTAACGTACTCAATAACAATTTCCAGAGCAAAGATACATCTCTTTCAAAAGTGGCTATAATTTTTATTTTATTTTATTATTTCTTGGTCTTTTGAAGACAGGGTCTCCCTGTAGCCTCAGCTGGCCTGGAACTCTCTGTGTAGACCAGGCTGGCCTTGAACTCACAAAGATCCACCTGCCTCTGCCTCCCAAGTACCGGGATCCTAAAGGCATGTGCCACCATGCCCAGCAAATTTGTATATTTTAAAGAATAATTTTCAGGGAGCTGGAGAGAGGGCTCAGTGGTGAAGAGCGCTTGCTGCTCTTCCAGAGGACCCGAGTTTGGTTCCCAGCACCCAGGTTGGGTGGCTTACAACTGCCTATAACACCAGAGGATCTAATGCCCTCTGGCTTTTGCAGGCACCCATATACATGTGACACACAGACACACAGACACGTATGTTAAAAATAAATCTTTAGGGGGCTGGAGAGATGACTCAGTGGTTAAGAATACTGATTGCTTTTGCAGAGGACTCAGGTTTGATTCCCAGTACCCACATGGCTAACAACTGTCTTTACTCCAGTTTCAGGGAATCCGACATCCTCTTCTGACCTCCACAGGCATTGTACAACACAGGTGCACTTACATACATGCAAGCAATACACTCATACACATAAAATGGAAATAATAAATAAAATACTTTAAAAAATAAATCTTAAAAAATTATTTAAAAATATACAAAGGTTCCAGATAAACCCTGAAACATAAGAGATAGTCAGCAGGTGTTTTGTTTTGTTTTGTTTTCCAACTGTGACAAAATACAAGCAAACCAGAAGGCAATATTCTGTTTCTAAACTCAGGTGGTTTTCACAACTGAAGTGAGAACTGAAGTTCAAGTCCTTTAGAACAGACACCCTCTGGGTGTCTGGGTGGGGGGGCTCAAGATCTAAACTGAGAACACAGGAAAAGCAGATGTAGCCTCAGAGCTCCTTCTTGTCTTCTTGTGTCTGAGCACGAGATTCTCAGCACACAGCTGACAAGAGGAGTCGTCTAACCAGCTGAGTGTTTTAAAATAATACTGAACATTCAAGACCAGCCTGAGCTACATGGTGAGACCTTATCTTTAAAAAAAGAGTGTTGGGGGGGGTATGGTAGAAGGCGAGAACTGACTCTCACAGGTTCTCCTTTGACCTCCACACGTGCCTACACATGCACACGTAACACACACTAAATAAATGTAAAAAAGAAAAATTAAAAAAGAATTTAATGCCTGCTTGTTGTTGTAAGGAAAAAGAAACAAATTGGCAAACAACCCCTTCTCCATCCTGAGGGCACCCTGCCTGTCCATGTGCAGGTGCAGCAGTCACTGGCTTCTCTACATAGTTGAGACTTTTTTTTTTTGTCTTTTTGAGACGGGGTATTCCTATAGCCCTAGCTGATCCTGGAACTCACTATGTAGACTCGGCTGGCTGGCCTCGAACTCACAGAGATCCTCCTGCCTCTGCCTCCCAAGTGCTGGGATTAAAGGCATGTGCCATCACCCCCGGCTCTAGTTGAGACTTTTGAATCTTGCTTTTTCTTTTCTTTTCACATTATAACATGAGGAGTTTTTCTCATCATGTTATAAATTTTTCCTCTTAATAACATGATCTTTTAAAAGTTAAAAGCATTATTTTTTTTCTATTATACATAATTCTACAAAGCGTAAAAGAAAAATGTATGAAGTGAGGTGAAATTTTGAATACCATGTGTCAACATACCTAATATTAGAAAGGCATGAAGTGGGGAATGACATTTCTGTTATATTTCCACTAGCATTAACTGCTATTCACCTTTTCCCTTTTACATATCAGTGGGGGACGTGAGAGCCACTGAAATGGAATTATACCATGACTGCACATGTCTAGCTTGCTTTCTTCATTCACTAATGTATTCTGAGTATCTGTAGTATAAGCATTTTCTGGTACCATTAAAACACTATTTATGTGGTGTTTTAAAAGGCTACATAACAGTTCATCAGTTAGGTGTATTCTGTTTTATGTAATCGTTTCCTCGGTTTGTATCTAAGTAAATATTTATCCACATTTTTTTGTTCAGTCCCAAAGCCAAGTCCCAGATAGCCCCAAGGAGTCAAGATAAACATTTGAAAGTTTCCTGTCCAGGGAGAGTTTGTCATTTTACACTCTCTCAGTAGCTTAGGAAAATGTGCAGACAGGGGTCACAAATACTTCAAAGTCCTTGCTGATGTCACAGGTGAACAAGCCCAGCTGGTTTGTGGTTGTTTGAATACCTAGAAGATTCAGTGCTCTTGCATATTTAATGGTCTTTTGTGGTTTTTGGATTAGAGCTCTTCTGCCTCTTATTTTTATTTATTTCTAATTAATTTTTAAAAAAATTGATTATTTTTCATTTTATGTGTATGTGTGTATTCCCTGCATGTAGATAGGTGCACCTGTGTTGTGCAATGCCCGCAGAGGTCAGAAGAGGCTGTCGGATCCCCTGGGACTGGAGTTACCAACAGTTGTCAGCTGCCATGTGGGTGATGGTATTCGAACCCAGGTCTTCTGCAAGAACAACCAGTGTTCTTAACCACTGAGCCATCTCTCCAGCCCCTCTAATCAATTTTTTTTTTTTTAATTATCTATTTGTCTATTTTGACACAGGGTCTCACTATGTAGTCCTAGCTGGTCTGGAACTTGCTATGTAGACCAGGCTGGCCTCTCTCTCAATAGAGATCTGCCTGCCTCTGTCTTGCAGGCTGTGGCACTTGCCTCCAATCCCAGCACTCAGGAGGCAGAGGCAGGCAAATCTCTGTGAGAGCGAGGCCAATTTGGTTTACATAGTGAGTTCCAGGCCAGACCTTGTCTCAAAAACCAGAACAAACAAATAAAAAAAGCATGTGCTCCCCCCTCCCCCACTTCTAGAAGCCAAGCCCTGCCTACCTCTAGACCAAAAGCCTGGTAGACCAAAAGGTAAACAAACCAAAGCCTTGTTTTCTGGTGGCCCCTTGCTCCCTCTAGTGACTGCACATGCAACTGCAGCCTTGCGGCCTTTGGGCTCCTCAGCAACTGGTTCATGTTCTGGGAAGTCTGAGGGAGCAGGGAAACAAGGGCAATCCACAGATGGGGCTGGACCGGGATTTGGTGATTGATCAGTGTGTGACAGAGTGGGAAGCTCTGGGGAGCTGAGGAGCTGTAACCTTTTGCATGTGCCTCATTCACACGCCCTCTGCCATTAAAATTAGTTTCAGGTTATACAAATGATATATAAGGATTACCAGGGCAAGAAAAAGCCTGATCAAAACTTGCATATTTCCTATAGAGATAATGACTATAAACATTTGACATAAATCTGCTGCCTTATGTGTATGTATATCTCTCCCAGTAACACACTGGGTCCTTGACCCCCAAGGTTTGACTGCATTCAGTGTGAAGAATGTGTTAGGCTTTCAGGACTCCTGGGAGCCTGTGGGTTGTCTGGAGCTTGACCAGAAAAACATGTAGCTCCTATCTCGTGCCTGTGGAGGGGCTCTGTTTGTACTTGCTTGAGCACTCTGCCGGCTCTTTCCTCACATGTGATGAAAGCAGTTGGTTAAGGACTTTTTTTTTTATGTGTATGCATGTATTGCCTGCATGTAGGTAAGTGCACCTGTGTCGTGCAATGCCCATGGAGGACAGAAGAGGTTGTCGGATCCCCTGGAACTGGAGTTACAGACAGTTGTTATCTGCCGTGTGAGTGCTGGGATTCAAACCCAGGTCTTCTGCAAGAACAACCAGTGTTCTTAACCGCTGAGCCATCTCTCCAGCCCAGGACTTTTTTTTAGTCAGTGTTTCAGCCTTACAGAATTGGAAGTACCATCTAAGAGTCAGTGCTTTGAAGTCCCCTATCCCAGTGCACCCTATTTATATCAAGAGACAACACAACACACCCTTCCATATGTGTTTTCTATAGTTAACTGTTTATAGTAGTCTAATAGGTTGTCATGGGTGATTGTCCCCAGTGCCTCAGGACAGATGCCTCCATCATTCTGTCACCAAGGTTCACTGGCTTCTAAGCAGAGAGAATGTCTTAGGAAATGTAGGGTGAGTTCCAAGTCAGCCCCAAGTCTCTCTGCTAAACAGCACCAGCTAGGGAACCCTTCTTTCTGGCCTGGGCCTGCTCTTTGCTGAGGGCCATACTGTAGCTCAGGCTGACCTGGAACTTCCTTTGTAAGCCAGGCTAACCTTGAACCTGTGGTGATCCTCCTGCCTCTGCAAGATTACAGGTGCTGGCACCACAGTCAGTTAATAGCATCTATTAGTAACAAACTGTCATAGACAGTTGTGGCATTTTCTGTGTGTGGTTAGGGTCAGGGGCCTCTTTTCCTTCCATCTTCAGTGTGTAGTAACCTTTTTCCTTTTATCCCACCTTCTGTTTTTCCCTTAGGCCGGAAACTGAGAGGAAAAGCCTTCTATTTTGTCAATGGCAAAGTGTTCTGTGAGGAAGACTTTCTGGTAAGTATATCACCCAGGTGATATACTATGCCAGGTGAAGATGGCATAGAACAGGAGCCTGAGAGACCTGGAGGGTGGGAAAGGGTTTTCCCCACAATGCCCAGTGCTGCTGAGAGAGGGCTCCTCCTTCCTCATGGATACCTGGGTAATCTGAGACCAGAAGCAGAAAACAAACCAAAGAGCTTTATGCTTTTGTGTGTGTGTGTGTATGTGTGTGAGTGTGTGTATGTGTATACATACATGCATGCATATGTGCTGTCTTTTAAATTTTTTATTCATTTTAAAGTTTGGAGACAGGGTCTCCCTACATAGCACAGCTGATCTAGAACCATGTTGCCCAGGCTGGCCTCAAACTCTCATTTGTCCTGCCTCCATCTATAGAGTACTGGGGTGATAGGCCTGTACACCCATGTCTAGCTGAGCTTTGTCCTTTGAAGGAACTGTAGAGGTTCTCCTCAGTTTTGCCTCTCCCATCTCCTAAACTCCCTCCTAGGACCTGGGCTCTCTTTCCCTCTCATCTTCCGACTTGCCCTGGGAAACTAGGCTTTCCCATGATTGACAACCCATCCATAAGTCAGTGACTCCGAGATCTGAGCTCTAGCCCTGCTGCACCTCTGCAGGCACTACTGGCATACACCCTGCTCTGTACATCCCTAGGCTGCCCTCCACCCCTGACCTACCACTTGTCCAAAGCAAGGCACTCACTGTGCTTTGGCTTCTTGTTTCTGAGAGCTGTGTCCTAGGTTCCTCCTCCATCCACCTCTCCCCATTTCTCCTGGAATGTAGCCACACACTGTGCTGTGTGTCCCACAGGTCTGCTTTAGTTCACACCCTCAGCATGGCTCAGCTAGGCCATCCTCACAGTCTCAAATATTGCCTGCAGAGGCCTTGCAGGGACAAGCTTGGAAGTTCTCCAAGGACCAAACCCGGAGCCCTCCTCACTATATACTCAGCCTCATGGCTACCAGCCTAGGCTTGGGACATTTCCCTGCTTGCCTGCATCATTCTACCACCTTCCTGTCCCTTCTCTGTGATGCCACAGTGCCTGGGGCTTGCCTTGATGGGTGGCTAGCACCCAGAAGCATGTATATGTGCAACTCTGTCACCTTGCTGGCTCCCTTGGGAGCTTGGAGTATACCTGTTCACCTTTTCATCCACCTAACCCTGTCTCAAGCACAGCATGGTTGTTGGGTGAATGTTGGTGAACTGGCCCTGTCTCTTGGGGATGAGGAATGTGATATCCAGAGCTGAGCTGGGACCAGGTTCTGGATGGACCTATGAAACCCTCTCTTCCCTGCCTGCACTTGGAGAAAAGCTCCATTAGATTTTAACAGAAGAGTTGGTTCCTTATGACTCTTGTTTGTTTATAGGCAAACAAAAGCTGGCTTTAGCAAAATAATTCATTTGGGGCATGCCTCAGGAGTTGTTTTAGCCTTGGCTCTGTAGTGTTAGCCTCAGTCCCAGATACAGATGTTGGCAGTGCTCCAGGGTTTACATTATCTCTGTTCATGGTCTGATGGGCAAAAAAGCCCATCCTTCCTTCAGAAGCCAAGAGTCTCACTGGCTCTCAGTGGGTTGCATGCCTGGCACAGGGCTGGAGGGATGCAAAGTCCTGATTAGCCAGGTCTGAGCCAGTGTCCTGCCCTGGAGCCCAGTTTGGAATCAGTCCCAGGAATCAAGGGAACCACAAGTAAAGATGTAGGGGGCTGTATCCCAAATGAAAACAAAGAACTGTTGCCCCTAGAACAGTTAGCAGGTCCTGTGCTGCGTGGCACAGAATTGCAGAAAGTTTCCATTTCTTTTTTTTTTTTTTCTGCCTTTCTTCCCATTTCATTTCTTCCCAGTGTTTGTAATACCCAAATTTCTAGGATCTCCCTATGTGCAGTACCTAAGACATTTTTTTAATTGACTGACTGATTCTTATGTGTGTGCCTCTGTGTGTGTGTGTGTGTGTTACTATATGTACATGTGCAAGTGGGTGCCAATAGAGACCAGAAGAGGGCATTGGATTCTCATGGAGCTGGAGTTACAGGTCATTGTGAACTGTCCAGTGTGAGTACTGGTAGCCAAACTCAGGTCCTCTGAAAGAACAGCAAGTGCTCTTAAGCCACTGAACCAATTCTCTAGTCCTGATCTAGGGCACTTTCTAAAAAGAGTTCATTTCTTTCAAGACTCCAGGTATGTGTATGTATGTTTGAAAGGTAAAGCGAATATTTATGAAGTTTCTTTGAAGTTAACTATGAGACATTAACTTTTAGCCAGGCATGGTGGTAACACCTGTAATCCTAGTATGGGCAGGGAGCTGAAGAAAGATGGTGAGTTCAAGGCCAAGCTAGGCTACATAGCAATATCCAGTCTCAAAATACCAAGGGCTGAGGATGTGGCACAGTGGTAGAGCTCTTACTTAGCATTCATAAAAACTCTAGGTTCTATCCCCAACACCACCAGAAAATAAATAAGGATACTAGCTTTTTTTTTTTCTTTTTTTTTTTTTTTTTTTTTTTTTTTTTTTGTCTTTTTGAGACAGGGTCTGTAGCCCCAGCTGTCCTGGAACTCACTATGTAGATCAGGCTGGCCTCGAACTCATAGAGATCCGCCTGCCTCTGCCTCCCAAGTGCTGGGACTACAGACGTGCATCACCATGCCCGGCCAGGATACTAGCTTTTTAACCAGAGTTCGACTTGAATTTGAATCCTGTCCTCACCCCTTCTTGGCTATGTAACCTCCCTGAGGTCACTTAACCTCTCTCAGCTTCCCTTTACTTCCTTCTGAGAAACAGTGATAATAATATACACCTTGCAGAGTGGCTTTAAGTATTAAAGAAGTGGTCTCAAACTTGAGCATGCATAAGAGCCCCCAAAGAGCTTGTGCTGACCCAGATTGCTGGGCCCCACCCCTGTTTCCAGCTGAGTAGATCTGCTGTGGGGCCCATAAGCAGCATTTGTTCCAAGTGATTTCAGGGAACCGCCTTTGGGAATCACTGAGATGATGGATTAAAGCTTCTCCGTGTTAGTATGTCAAGCAGAGACTGACACATTGTGGGGCCCAGGCAGTTGCCAGGGTGGGTGTCATCTGTGGCAGAGGAGCACTGTGACTCAGTGCACAGCTCTGTGCCCTTGGGGAAGGGCAGGTTCTGACTCAACAGTGATGCATCTTTCTCTGAAGTCCCTCGTCATTCTCTCAGCTTGCAAGGAGACAGATGGCTGACTCATCCTTTCTTTCTTCTGCAGTACTCTGGCTTCCAGCAGTCTGCAGACAGGTGCTTTCTTTGTGGACATCTGATCATGGACATGGTGAGTAGCATCCAGTAAGATCATAGCATCTTGGAAGGAGGAGGTGTTCATGGGGAAAATGGGAGGAGAAAAGCCATTAATAATTGAACACAGTGTTTCCTTTCTGGTTTGTGGTAACAGCTGGTTTTATTTAAAGAAGTCCCTCTGCAGTACAGGCTGTGTCTAATGGAAGTTACTGTTGGCTTGGACTGGTGTTTGCATCTTTTTAAAAATATATTTTTTACTACTTTATTTATTATTTTTACTTTATGTGTATGAGAGTATATTGCCTGCATGTAGGTAGGTACACCTTTGTCATACAGTGCCTGTGGAGGTCAGAAGAGGGTATCAGATCCCCTGGAACTGAAGTTACAGACCGTTGTTAGCTGCCATGTGGGTGCTGGGAATCAAACCCAGGTCCTCTGCAAGAGCAGCCAGTGCTCTTAACCGCTGAACCATCTCTCCAGTCCCTGGTGTTTGCATCTTTATGCACAAGGCACACAGCTTAGAGACTGCTCATATGGGGCATCCCTCTGATTTCTCTGTGATCCTTGGCATTCCGAGTGAGGTGCCAAGTTTAGACCATTTTACTTGCAGAAATCTGAGTCACCTGAGAAATGGGTGCAGTCAACTGAATAAGGTTGTTTTTTCCTTCCCAGCATTCTTAGGAACACTTTTGGCATTCAGAAGGAACAAGGCCCAGGTCTTCACAATGCATCCTGAGCTCTGCCACTGGCTCTTGGAGGTTGTCCTGGGCCTCAGTCTTTATTTCTTAGGTGAGGAGGGTATTTTCTATGGACTCAGGTGGTGAGGTCAACAAATACAGGGATCAAATTGTTTACTTTGGAAACTGGCCAGTGGGAGTGTCTTTAGGAGCCTGGAGTATAACTCAGGCAGAGCGCTTGCCTAGCATGTGCAAGGCCCTGGGTCTCATCCTTAAAAACAACAGCCGGGTGTGGTGGTACATGCCTTTAATCCCAGCACTTGGGGGAAGAGGCAGGTGGATCTCTGCGAGTTCAAGGCTAGCCTGATTTACATAGTGGGCTCCAGTTCAGCTGGGGCTACAGGGAGACCCTGTCAAAACAAACAAACAAACAAAGGAAAACCAGTCAGCCTGTGCTGCTTACTGAGAGGCCAGCAGCTGGTTTCATTCACTCCCTGGCTTCTCGACTTATGTCTCATAAACACTGTTCAGTGGTGTCCCCTGCTGGAAGTCACTCCCAGTTAGAGTCTGAGTTGAGGAGTTTGGCTTAGCTTACTGTGCTCACTTTTGCTTAAAGACTCTCTGCCGGGGCAGGAAAGTTAATCCCAGGAGCTCAGCCTGAGTGAAATGGGAGGATTCCGTTGTAGGGTGTCCAGCAGCTTATGGGAATCTGCCTTTCTTGTGCTAGGAAGTAACACAGTGGCCGAGCGCCTGCCCAGCATGTGGGAGGCCCTGGGTTTAGTCCCCAGCACCATCAAAGAACAGAGCAGGGCTGAAGAGATGGTTCGGTGGTTAAGAGCACTGGCTGTTCTTATAGAGAACCTGGGTTTGGATCCCAGCCCCCACATGGCAGCTTACAACTGTCTGTAACTTCAGTTCTAGGGGATCTCACACCCCCTTCTGGTCTCCATGCACTTGATACACTTACATACATGTAGGCAAAACCCTCATATACATAAAATAATAATACATTCATTTAAAAATTTAAATAAATAAAAACCAAGCAAAAAGAGAATTTCTTTAATATGCTGGGTATATAACAAATTTAGCTGGAAAGCATTCACTCCATGTACTAATTCTGTTCTGGAGACAAGAACTATAGTTTTTCCTTGTCTTTTTTATTTGAGAAGTAACTATAGAATAAAATGCACAAATCTTAAATGTACTGCTGAATGAAGTTTTACATATGCACCTACCCATGTAACCATAGCCCAGACCAAGAGACAAGACATTATCTGAACACCAAAAAGCCCCCCACCTCCTCCCACTTGAGCTCCCTGCCTGCATTGCCCCATGTGTTTTGCTGGCTTCGGAGCATCACACAGTGGAATGGTAGAGCTAGGCTCTTGGATGTGCCTTTCCTCACTTAGAAATGTGTTTTTGAGATTCATGCACATTGTTCACTATATGAGTAGTTCATTTATTCTTACTGCTAAATAGACTCCATTGTATGGCATGTAAATTTGGATGTTTTCCATTTTTGAGCTACTTAAGCACAAAATTCCTATGATTTCTGAGTACTTGTGTGCGTGTAGTTGTTTTGTTTTGTTTCTCCTTTTTGTTTGATCTCATGTAGTCCAGACTGTCCTCAAACTTTCTAAATGGCTGAGAATTACCTTGAACTTTTGATCTTCTGAACTTCTGATCCATACCTTCCGAATGCTAGGATCACAGACCTGTATTACCACTAGTTTTATGTGGTGCTGGGGATTGAACCCAGGACCTCATGCATGCTAGGCAAGCACTACCAACTGAGTACACCCTCAACCCTTTTGCATATCTTTTTTTTTTTTTTTTTCCAGACAGGATCTCCTTGTAGCCCTGGCTGGCCTGGAACTTGCTATGTAGACCAGACTGGCCTCTTCCTCACAAAGATCCACCTGCTTCTGCCTCTGCCTCCCAAGCGCTAGGATTAAAGGTATGTGCCACCATGCCTGGCTTGTGCATGTCTTTGATGGACATGTACACCCATTCCTGTGGGTTATATGCTAACATTTATAAAGCAACAGTGAACAGAGCCCTCTGCTCATGAGGGGTACCTGCTGCCATCCAGGCCTTGACAGACTACAGAAGAGCTTAGTCCTGGGACAGCTGTGGCCTCATTGCTAGCCAAAGCCACCCCCCAGTGTGACCTTTTGCCCATTTTCCCCAGGGGAGGGTACAGATGTGAGCCATACTCCCTCACTTGTGTGTTGGGGAGTAATCCCCAATTTTAAGACAGAACCTTTGTCTGTTGACAAGACTTTTAATAATAAACTCCTTTAAACATTTTTTAAAAGATTTTTATTTTTTAAATTATGTGTATGCATACATTTCTGTATGAGGGTATGTGCATGTGAGTTCAGTTGCCCTGATATATGTGTGTGTTTGCATGTTACACAATACTAACACACATGTAGATGCCAGAAGAGAGGATGTCAGATTCCCTTGAGCTGGTGTTAGAGGTGGTTGTGAGTTGCCAGACATGAGTGGTGGGAATTGAACTCAGGTCGTCAAGAGCAGCAAGTGCTCTTAACTGCTGAGCCATCTCTCCAGCCACAGACTCTTTCATATACCATTGCCTCTATAGCAGAGCCTTAACCATCCAACTCTTTGTATATATTATTTATGTGAACTCCCTGTGTTAATAGAGGGGTACATTCTGGAACAGGGCCTGTTCCAAAACCATTTACTATATTCTGAGTTAGACAGAATATAGTAAAATGGCATTTTTTTTCAGCCTGACTTTAGGTACAGTGAGGGTTAAGTTAATGTAAGGATCACTTTCTGCTTTACTCTTGAGAGGAAATGCATTCCAATTGCCAAGTGGACTTTGGAAGCCTAGTGGCTGTTCCTCTCTGGCAGTTTGCTACAGGTGGAGAGGGGCCTCAGAGGCAGTGAAACTCAGTAGGGAATGAGGAAGTATGCAAGCTGAGTCTTCCAGGAGCCAGGGCAGCAGGGAGTGCTCCACATTCCCTGGCTGGAGAGTGTCTGTGCACTTACCCAGGCTTCCAGGGAAGGGCCTGGAAAAGAGCGAGCTTTTCCATAGTCTCATAATGTCCCACAGGGCTCTCCTAAGAGCCAGGTCCCCTTCCTTTGGTCTTTCTGGGTGGCTTACTGCCAGCTGCTGCAGATTGCTCTGTGTATTCCCTGCCAATAGGTTAGGTTCCTCCTTGTTGGTGGTGACGCCATAGTTCTGTTCTTTTTTTCTGTTTTGTAGCCAGGTAATTGCAGAGGTGAATCTCCTCCTGAGTCAGTAAAGATGCTTTCAACAGCAAATTACATAAAACTTGGGTTTTTAAACTTAAACCAATGATTCTAGTATGCACTAGAATCATATTATTGAAACATCAACAGCTGGGCTTTATACCTGGTGGTTCAGATTCAGGAAATCTGGGGTGGGTTTAAGAATGGATGTTTTTACCAGGTTCCCAGGTAGTGCTAAAACTGCAGGTCCAGGGAGCACACTTTGAGAACAGGACTTTACAGAGCTAGGAATTGTATCTTCTCTCACAGGAGACAAACTGTTTGCAATGAGTTGTTCTCCTTACCAACCTACTGACCTCACCATGGATGTGCTTTTCTCCTGGTCTCTTCTCTTCCTCTTCCCACTTCTCCCCTCCCCGCCCCCTCCTCTTTTCTTCTCTCTTCTTTTACCCTCCCTTCTCCTCCCTATGTCTTGGCTGTGTTCTGGTTTTGGAAGGGCCCTAGCTGTTCCAGGTATCACATCCGCATCAGGTAACACAGAGGAAGGAGGGCTAGGGGGCTTTTCCTTCATTATGTTTTAAAAATAAAGACAAGGACTTTGCCTATTACACTTCGATTTGAGATGATTGGGGTTCCAGCCAGACTTCTAAGATGTTTCTCTGCAGAGTCAAAGCCACATAGAAGGTGAGCCCAGGAGCCAAAGTGAGAAGGTTTTGTCTAATTTCTTCCAGTTCTGTATGGAATTTTTTTCATTCTCCTATGTACTTTCTGCTTTCCAAATCTGGGGGTCAGGGTGGGGGTTCGGGGGATTCTTCTGTGGCCCTGCTTTACCTTGTTTCCCACCTTTTCCATGTGGGTTTTAGTCCCAAGATTGACCCAGCCCTACCTTAGTATTGCCTTTTAATGAAGAACAAGTTTCTTGCTGTGAAGGAGGGTTGGAAAGGAGCCTCTGCATTCCTTCTTAGCTCAGCAGGGAGAGGTCACAGAGCTCTGTGTGTTCCTCTCCTGTTCACAGGTCTGAACAGACTAGCCCTCTCTTGATCTTGATCTAAGTGAAACTGTGGATGGGGCCTGTGCCACAGTGCAGCTGTGTATGTGACTTCTTGACCAGTATGTTCCTCTTGTTCCACATCCCTCTCTTCCTTCATTTCATTGAGTCTTTGCTTCTTCTTCTTTGTATCCCCAGATCCTGCAGGCCCTGGGGAAGTCCTACCACCCTGGCTGTTTCCGCTGCGTCATCTGTAATGAGTGTCTGGATGGGGTGCCTTTCACAGTGGACTCAGAAAACAAGATTTACTGTGTCAGAGATTACCACAAGTAAGGAGGGAGGATGAGAGTGGAGGGGGACCTATACATAGGCCCCACTGAGGGCAGCAGAGCAGAAAGTACATATAAACTGGTCCAAGTTTGTTTAGAGAAAAACAGGACACAGAAACTGTAAACAGATTCCTGGCTAGGCCTCAGGGGGAATCTACCAAGCCTGTGGCTCTGGCTTTACCCAACTTCACCGGGCACCAGCTTCATCAGGCTTGGCATACACCATTCTCTGCTTGCTGCACCAGCCCAGTTAGCTGTGAAGGGAGCAAACAGCCAGCTTCCTCTTCATCCCTAGGGGGATGGGAGGCAGCCTGATGCCCTTGTAGCGGTCAGGAACAATGCCACGTTCATTTGCCACAGTGTAAGCTCACTTCTAGTCATTGTATGAAGGCTGGAAGGTCCACCAGGTACGATGGACAAGGGAGCTCCTGGCAGGCTCTGGGTGCCATTCATATTCTGGTAACATCACAGTGTGTACTGTGTTCCTTGTTTCTCCCCCAGGGTGCTGGCCCCCAAGTGTGCGGCCTGTGGGCTTCCTATCCTTCCACCGGAGGTAAGATGCATTTCCAGACTGGACTGTCTCCCTAGATCCATGACCTGCCTTTACACTTTTCAACATACCCTTCCAAACTTCCAACATGGTCAGGCTTCCCAGTCCCATGTCGTTTTTATGCCTGTTTGTCCCAAGAGCCAGGCCAAACTGCTGGGACCCGAACCTGGATCCTCTGCAAGAGCAGTCAGTGCTCTTAATCACTGAGCCATCTCTCCAGGCTCCGAACTTTCTTACTGGATGCTGGCTCTTAGATTGGCAGAAGAGCAGAAAGCTTACCTTTTATTCATCTTTTAAAAGTAGATGTTCAAAAAAAACTGCCTCAGTAAATGAATTGGAGAGTGATTGAGGAAGACATCCGACATCCACTTCTGGCCTCCACATGCAGACATGCATCTATACACACACACATACATGTGCAAAAATGTAAAATAAAAATGAATGTCTCCATTAATTCCTTTTTCAGTGTTATCTCTGACATTCCAGGTCACACTGCCCCGACCTGCTCTCACATCCACTGAATGTTAGCATTCACTGTTGATTTACATTCCTCCCCCACAGCCGCCTACTGTTAAACTCTTTAATCTCTTCACCCTCCAGCCCACCTCATGACTGGTGGTATCCAGTGGACCTCTAAACTGGCTTCTTTGCGTTTTGCTTTTTCTTTGGTTGCAGGGCTCAGATGAGACCATCCGCGTAGTGTCCATGGACAGGGACTACCATGTGGAGTGCTACCGCTGTGAGGTAGGCCCCTCCCTACCCAGCCCCCAAAGCTCTGGTAGAAAAGCTTCTTAGGTCATGGGCCTGAGGTAGTCACTGGATTGTGCCTATTTGTCCTAATAGCCAGGCCAAACTTTCTTCATATATAAATGGTTGTTAGCCACCATGTGAGTGCTGGGAACCAAACCCTGAGGTCCAGTGTGTATGAGGGTAATGCAGGTGTTTAGGGCTGAAGGTTTGTGTTGTTTTCTGAAAATTCAGAACTGGTAAGTCTTGAAGCTCAAAGTTGCTAACCCTGAAGCTTCAGAACTCAGAGGAACATGTACAGTGTGGGGCTCAGGTCTTATTTCAGGTCAGATTGTCAAGGCAGGTATATGACAAGGGAGGAGGCTTCTTCCCCTCCTGGGCACAGACTGTTCTGTCTGCTAGAAGCTCCTCTCTGAGCTGAGCCCTGAAAATCATGGAGAAATACCCTTTTGGGAATAGGTACCTCAACTGATAAGTATGAAGGTGGGTAGGAGCACCTGCCCTTCTCTACCCTGTGTGACATCCTACATTGAAGGAACCACAAGTTTTCCATGACTGCCAGGAAAGCCAGGGTCACCCCTTACCAGTCTCCTAACCACACTAAATGGATTCACCCACAGATTAGATTCACTTAGAGATCTTGTAGGGAGGGAGAGCAGGGAGTATGGGTAACAATGTAGATTGGTCCCACTGCTGGTACTGAAGCAGGTGGGACTCATGGCTGGTGCTCCCCATGAGCCTGGAGAAGAGAGTGAAGACTTAACCATCTTCTCTGCACATTCCAGACTGCACTGGCCACTAGAAATATGAGTACCATATACTGAAGTCACGTGTCCCTCCTCATCTCCTAGCAGCCATGTTTGACAGTTAAACAATTGGGGATGCTGGTGATATAGTTTAGTTGGTAGAGTGCTTGCCTAGCATATGTGAAGCCCTGAGTCCAATCCCCAACATCACAAAACCCAGGACGTTGGTGCCTGTTATCCCAGTGACTGGGAGGCTGAGGAAGGAGGATCCGAAGTTTAAGGTCATCCTTAACTACAGAGTACATAGCAAGCCTGGGCTACATGATATACTGTCTCAAAAGGCGACACAGACACACACAGACACACACAGACACACAGACACACACACACACACACACACACACACACACACACACAGAGACTGGATTAATTATTCAACCCTAAAGAAGCACAGTGTTATTTCAACTTGTAGTCCATAGAAGAAGCTACCCGTGAGATATTTGATTGGAGGTCTGGTGTGCATTTGTTCTTAAGCCACATCTTAGTTCCCACCTGCCCCATTTGAAGAGCTCCATGCTGTAGCCAGTAGTTCTTTCAGTGCTGCCAAGAACCACGCAGCACTCTGCTAATGGGGATGGGGGGGCGGTATGGCCTTGATGTCACTCTTGCAGCTTGCTTTGCTTTCATGGGACATTCTTGCTTCCCCCAGGACTGTGGTCTGGAGCTCAATGACGAGGATGGTCACCGCTGCTACCCACTGGATGACCACCTGTTCTGTCACTCCTGCCACATCAAGAGGCTGGAGAAAGGCCCCTTGCCAGCAGCCCTCCACCAGCACCACTTCTAGGCAGATTCACAGTGGGGATGCAGGGCCAGGGTTGCCCAGGGAGGTGCCTGCCTGACATTGCTGGTGGCTGCTGGAACTGGGGCAGAGGAAGAGGAGGGCAAGTGTGAGGGGTGCCTTTCTTTTAACCAAGGTGGTGTGCACTTCCAGTGTAGTCTTTCCTACTCTTTCCCCCATTGCCACACCCTCTCAGGTTACTCAGGAAGATGCTCCAGCTTGTGCATGGCACATGACACAAGATTGGTTCAGTGTAACTGGAGGCACCAACTCCCTGGAAATGGTTCATATTTCACAGGGACAGGTTTTTGGAGTGGTCTGCATTGAGCATATTTCACAGTGGCCCCTGAAGAGAAGCAGTAGTGGAGATGGGCAGCACTTCCCTCCCCTCCCTGCACTCAGGCACCCCTCACATGCACCCCATGGCATGACAACAGTTCTTTCCACTTCAGAACTTGGGGTCTTCTCAGAATGGCAGCATTCTAACTACGTCATGGCAAGAAAGAAGCATGGCGCATACTTTGTACCCTAAGAGGAGTTTGCTTAGTAAACCAGAGCCAAGCTTAGAAGTTTGGGAGGCTGGGTCCCCCCATTGTGCCCTGATGGCCCGTCATGTGCCCCTGCCTTTCCTCCTTATGCCCCTAAGGCAGCTGGGCCATGGCCAAGGCCTGCCCTGCCCAGCACAGCCAGCTTTGGGAGAACTGGTGCAGGCACCAGGACCCTTGCCTGTTGCTCAGCGCCGTTTTCTGCATTACTCCCTCCGGTCTGTGACTTTGGAGTGGCTTCCTCAAGGCAAGTCTTGGGCTCCCTTGTGAGGACATCCCAGGTGCCTGTTTCAGCTTATTCACCCATGAGCTTTGGGAAATCCACCCCACATCCCGGGAGAGAGCTCCTTCTGACAGAGTTTTTTGTGTGAGAGAGCTAAGGCTAGCCCCAGAGGGAGCATCTGAGGACATTACCGAGCTCTTTTCAGAGGTTTCTCTCATGCCCACTGCTCGGGACAGGCATTTGGTTTGAAGAAACCAGTATAAGGTACACTGCTTTTGTCTGTTTTTCATTGTTTCTCTCCACTTTTTTTCCACACACAAAACATACCTCACAGATAAGAGTTTCACCAAATCACAGGTCAAGGAGGAATTCATATTCAGCTATCACACTGGAGACCATTGGTGTGTTAGCAATGTTACCATTGATGTGTTAGAGTGGGCTAGCTTCCCACTCTAGACTGCACTGGGCAGTATGGTCACAATGCAAGGTCAGCTGCCACTAGATGAAATGGGCACTCTGGTCTCAAAAGTCTAGGTACACTGGCTCCAGGGGTGGTCAGGGTTAAGGGAGAAACCACATGCTGACAAGACCACCTCTGAGCCATGTGTGTGAGGCATGCCTGTAATTGAAACACTTGGGAGGCCAAGGCCTGTGGATTAGGAGTTCAAGACCATTCTCAACCACATGAGACTTTGACAACGAGAACCCACCTCTGTGCCAAAGAACAAGATTGACTCTGTGTATCACAGTCCTGAGGCCAGAGACCAGTATCTCCTTACTAGTTCAAATAGAAGAAGCTGGGGGAAAAATACACAAAACAGACAGATTGACATTTGCCCTCTTAATCTGCAGGGAGGGGCTATTACCTGTCACTTCTGCCAGTTAGCCTGGGCACCCTGCAGCTGGTGTGGGCGACAGAGCATGGTCAGTGGAGCCCCTGCACATGTGAATGTGGACTCTTCGCTGGGCCCCGGCTCCACCTCTAGGCCATTTCAACTCAGCTGGCCTTCATTGCCTGTGAGTTTAGAACTGGCACTGTGGAGCATCTTTTCAGTTTTTATAAAATTCATTCTGTTGGATTGCTTTGGCCAGATATTACTTCCTTGAGTTCTGTTTTAGACTGAGTCTCCTTTTAAAACCTATGAATGTGTGAGGCTGGGGAAACAGACCCTGAGGCCAGGCCCCTCTCTTCCCTTCAAGGTAGCTCAGCTTTGGCAAGGCAGGCAGGGAAAGGAAAACAGTCCAATGTCTTTGCCTAACCTGGAGTGCTGGCCTGGTTAATACATCTTTGCTCCACTTCTGAGTCAAGCTGAGTGAAGAAAATTGGAACCAATGTCAGGAGTAGAGGAGAGTTGTTTGAAAATTGAATAATTAGTTGAAAACTCTATGATTAATTTTTTGAATGAAATTCCTGATTGAGGTGATTCAGATGTGTTTGCAAATATTACATTTCATATATTTGAAAAAGAACAATAAAGGAATTTGCAGATTTCCTAGAAACCCTAGCACTGTCTTCTCTGTTTCCTGGAGAATATGCTGCTGGGAATTTTGAATTAGTTGTTTCTCCCCATCCTAGGCCTTTAAAAATGTTTACTTATCTGAGATTTTAAATGTGCTACAGAATATTGGCCATGTAGAACTGGAATGGGATTGTATTCATAGGCACATAGGAAGAAAACAGGAACTTGGGAGACCAGGATAGTAAGTCTGTCTTGAATGTTAGAGCAAATAGCCTTTTGAGATTCTTGCACAGCTCTTGCACCTTGAATAAAACCAGGAAGATGGAGGCTGATCCCAAATCAAGCTGCATCCTCCCTTCTCTAACTTTGCCCATAGGTTTCAGATGGGCCCTCAGCCCTAACTGGGTCATTGGCTGCTCATCACACTGTGATAGGACTCTCTAGTCCCCTGGCTAGTGTGCAAGTGAATCCTCTTTCAGCTGAGTCCTCTCAGATTCCACTATTGAGTCCCAGGTGGCTGATAGAAGAATCAAAAAGTTCTGAACACCCTGGAGCACCGCCATGGCTTTTCATGGCCCTCAGTCACACAAAATGAAAAATAGGAGTGTTAGGAGGATATGGAATCCAAAGTCCTTTGCAGGCATTAAATGCTGCTCTTGAGTACGTGTTCCTCACACAGTGAAAGCACTGTCTACCAGTTAGAACCCTTGCAAAGGACAGTGTGAGACTTCAAACCATGGTCACACAACACACTTGTAAAAACTCCCAGGAGAAGCTATGAAAATGCTCAGTTGGTAAAGTACTTGCTATGCAAATATAAGAACCTGAGTTCAATTCTCAGAATTCGTGTGAGAATGCAGATGGAGTGGCATGCTCTTAAAATCCCATCTCTGGGGAAGAGGACTGGAAGATCCTGTCCAGTCTTGCCTAATTGGAGAGCCAATGAGACCATGTCTGGAAGGTATGAGCTTGAGGTTGTCTGCTGACCTCCTCATATGCATTACACATACATTAGGAAAAAAACTACCAAGAAATCCTTTTTTCCCCCTTCCTTTTGCCAAGAATCCGTCCTAATTTTGTTTCCAGTTAACTTCTGAAGTAACTAACACAAAAGTAAAATGTACTAAGCTATCTTTTGTTTTGAGCACAAACAGGGCAGATGTGAACAATCTCCATAGAGTATATGAAAGTTTCCCTGCAAAGGGACATTCTTTTCCTCTGTGTCTCTTATAAGATTTTTCAAAATTTTATTATCGCATGAAATTATTCTAAGTAGTGTTTTTTTTTTCCTGTCTTTTTGAGACAGGGTCTCCCTGTAGCTCTAGCCGGCCTGGAACTTGCTATGTAGACCAGGCTGGCCTTGAATTCACAGAAATCCACCTCCCTAATGCTGGGATTAAAGGTGTGTGCCACCATGCACAGCTAAAATTATTCTAAGTGTTGTGACATAAAGCTGCATGAGTTTGTAGGCTATTAAAGTATTCTCACCATGGGGGTTAATGGGTACTTTGTGTGTAGAATAAGCAGACAGTTTTTTGCTTTGTAGCTGAAGCTGGCCTTGAACTCCTGATTCTCCTGCCTCTGCCTCCCACATGCTGGGATTACTGACAGCATGATATGAAATGTGTACTGGTTCCCATCATGTAAATACTGCCACCACTGTCAATTTCAGTCCACCTGTGACATTCTGAAACTTGGGAGTGGGGAGCAGATAACACAGTCATGAACAAATACCAGCCAGCCTCAGGCATTTGGATACCTTGTGAGCCCAGGCAGTGGAGGAAGTCTGGTCTGGTTCTGAGTTGCATGATTCAAACAATAGCTGACATTAACTGTGTGCCCCAGGGACCAGATGTTGTTTTAAGGACCCTTTGTTCTTTATTATCCCTCATCTTGTAGACAACTGAGACAAGGAAGGGGGAAGTAACCCTCCAGAGTGAGTGCTCAGTAAGCACTAGGACCAAGACCAGGCCTATCCCAGGCAGTCACCCAGAGTGGTATGTCTTTACCATCCTGGCTGCCTGGGAGTTGGTAAGTCATCCTATATGAGGTTCATTCATTAAAGGTATTCAGTAAAACCTTATCAAGAGCTGGGGCTGATGGTGTCCACCTTTAATCCCAGTACTCAGGAGGCAGAAGCAGGAGGATCTCTGTGAGAGATGGAGGCCAGCAGGGGCTATAGGAAGACTTTCAAAAAACAAAACCAAACCCAAACCAAAACAAAAACCTCATGGTGAGGCTGCTGTCTGTTAAGTATCAGTTCCTATTGTAACAAATTACCTCAAACCCCAATGGCTTAGAACACAACACAAATGTATTGTCTTTTTAAATTTTTATGTGTATGAATGTTTTGCATGTATGTTATGTATGTGTACCATGTGTGTGCTTGTAGTGCTTGTGGAGACCAAAAGAGTGTGTCTGATACCCTGGAACTGGAGTTACAGATGGTTATAAGCTGCCATGTGGGTGCTGGGAACTGAACCCAGGTCCTCTGCAAGAGTAACAAGTGCTCTTAACTGCTGAGCCAACTCTCCAGCCCCAAATGTATTCTCTTACAGTTCTAGAGAAGTGGGTCCTACAGGCTCACATCCATGTTATTTACAGATCCTTTCAGAGGCAGTGGGGAAAATCCAGTTCTTGTCCCGTGAATTACTTTTCTTGGTGCTGTGACAGAATACCTGGCAGAAGCAACTTAAGGGGGTCAAGGTTTGGGCTCATGATTTCAGGGGAGACAGTCCATCCTGGCAGGGAAGACATGATGGGGCCACTCTGCAGCAATGGAAGCATGAGGAAGCAGTTCCTTATACCCAGGCAGATTAGGAAGAGTGCTGGGGAGAAACCAGAAATGAGTATCACCCTCAAAGTCTGCCCCCAAGGACTAGTTCCACTAGCTAGAACACAGTCCCAGGGATTCCGCAACCTCCCAAAATAGCACCACCAGCTAGGGACCCAGTGTTCAAACACGAGTCTGTGGAGACATTTCACATTGTTCCAGTAACATGACCTTTCAGCCTTGGAGGCTGCACACCCCTTGGCTGGTGGCTGCATCACTCTGGGTCTGTTGTCCTTCCTGATCTTCTGCCTCCTTGTAAAGAATGACCTTTGGGATTATGCTGGGCTCATCTAGATAATCCAGAATAATCCCTCTCATGATTTTTTTCAAATATTTATTATTTTTATTTTATGTGTATGAGTGTATTGCCTACATGTATGTATGTGAGTGTACCCATGTTGTGCAATGCCGAGGAGGTCAAAAGAGGGCGTCGGACTCCCCTGGAACTGGAGTTAAGGACGATTCGTAGCCACCATGTGGGTGCTGGGAATCAAACCTGGGTCCTCTGCAAGAGCAGTCAGTGCTCTTAACTGCTGAGCCATTTCTCCAGCCCCTCTCTCACAATTCTTAATCTGAATCCCCCTTTGCCTTGCAGAGTAAGAGATTCATAGATGCTGGGGATTAGGACACAGACATCTCGGGAAGGGCTTTAATCAGCCTACTGCAGATTACAACAGTTTTTTTTTTTTCCCCCAGGGGGAGTGAAGGTTGGGGGTAAAAATGAAATAATACCCATGGGGTATTAGATGCCTTATCTTTAAACATTGATAAAAGTGAGGTCCTTGAGGTTGAAAATGGTGATGTGCTATGCATCAACATGTCTGGAATCTGGGAGTAAAATAATAAAAATAATTTTTTAAGAGGTCAGAGATCATATTCTGTGGGGGAAAAGAAGCCAGAGAGGTCTGGTCCAGAAGGGCTCAGGTATGTGACAGACCCGCTGTGTGGCACTTCTAGGAGAAGCCCAAGTAATGTGGGTTCCCCCAAGTGTGCCAGACAACCCAAAGTCCGGCCACTGTTGAGTTACACACTTGTCTCAGCAGCTGATCCAAGGTGTCAAGGACAAGTGGCTTGGGTACAGCATGCCATGGAGTGAAAGATGAAGGCGCATAGAGACTGAGTAGGCAGACACTACAGCACAAGATTGTGACAATAACCTGTAGCTTAGACCATATACCTGGGAAGGCCCTGGCAAATTTCTTTTTAAAAAATTGTATTTATATGCACATAAATAACAATTGTGCTATAGGGAAAATTTGGCTAAAGATAACAATTTATATTACCACCTGTAAGGATTTCTTTTTCTGAAAATTCTTGTCTTAGAACCTGATTTTGGACTTTAAAAATCTCAGAAGATGCCTTTAATCCCAGCATGGGAGGCAGAGGCAGGAGGATCTCTGAGTTCAAGACCAGATTGGTCTACATAGCAAGTTCCAGGACAGCAGGGGCTACTGAGAGATCCTGTCTCAAAAAATAAAACAAAACCAATCTCAGAAGAGCGCTAAGGCTGCGGACTAGCTCATTTGGTAAAGTGCTTGGGATAAGCAGGAGGACCTGAGTCCACTCCTCAGAACACATGCTAAAAAGCCAGTAGTAGCCAGGTGAGGTTGCACACGCTAACCCAGCTCTCAGGAGGCAGAGGCAGGTGGATCTCTGTGAGATTAAGTCTAGCCTGATCTATATAGTAAGTTCTAGGCCAGCTGGGGCTACAGGGAGACCTGTCTCAGGAAAAAAAAATATCCAATATGGCAAACACTTGTAATCCAGAGAAACCATGAAGACTATGGAGACAAGATGGAGAGCAACTGAGACCCGAGATTGACCTCTGGCCTCCTTGTGCTGTGCACACGTGCACATACACAAACAAATGAATACCGATTATTCAGACCTACCTGTCTGAATTACTCTCTAGTTTTCAGTTTCACTGAGTGTTTACAGGGGCCTTAGTTTATAATCCCCAACTAACTGTAAACACGGGCAGATATGAGTCTCTACCTGCAGACAGAACCTGGGTAGTTCTCTGCAGGCCAGTTGCTGTTCAACTGGAAGTTTCTTTTCCTAAAGCCTTATAACATAGGCTACAACTTAAACCTCCGTTTTCCCAAAAGAACAGGAAATGTCCAGGAACCCAGAGCTGGTAAGTTGAAGGATCATTAGCTAGAAATGAGGTGGCATGCTGACTAGCACGTGACTGCCATCCAGCCTACCCCTGTAGTGCCCTCTCGGGGTTCACGTAACCTCCACTGGCTGGCTTTAGAATCAAGTGCTCTTAAGCAAGTTTAGTTTCCTCTTCTGAACTTATGAGGTTGTGGTAACGGTTAATTTTGTTTGTCCAAATAAAATGCTTAGCCAAGCACAAAGTAATTGCTTAGTAAGTATGACGTCTTAAGACTTAATTGATAGTAAATCATGATGCTCAACAAAATAAAGAATAAACAGCTTAAAGTAAAAAAGTACCCAATTCAACTGCAAAACAATCTTTAGAAAGCACATATAAAATAAGTAAATATGAATACATAAACATGAATTAGGTTAAACTATTATAAAGAAAAGGTAAAGTATAAACTGGCAATAAGACTATAATGTGTTTGACAGCCAAAGAGTTAATACCCTTAATATGTTAAAAAGTTAAGTCTTGGGCTGGAGAGATGGCTCAGCGGTTAAGAGCACTGACTGTTCTTGCAGAAGACCCGGGTTTGAATCCCAGCACCCACATGGCAGCTAACAACTGTCTGTAACTCCAGTTCCAGGGGATCTGACAGCCTCTTCTGTCCTCTGCTGGCATTGGACGACACGGGTATACTTACTTACATGCAGGCATAACACTCATACACATAAAAAACAAATATTTTTTTAAAAGTCAAGTCATCACAGCTAGAGAGATGGCTCAGTGGTCAAGAGTATGTATGTATTGCTCTGGCCAAGGACTGGAGTTCAGTTCCCAGCACCTATGTTGGGTGGCTCACAATCACCCATAACTCCAGCTCCAGGAGGATCCCATCGTTCTGGCTTCTGTGGGTACCTGTGCTCAAGTTCACAGACACATACTTAAATATAAGAAAATGACCACTTGGTCAAAAATAAAAGTTAAAAAAGGATATTCTGGTTTTCACTTATGAAAATCGCAAAGAAATTGTATATAGCTATCCCATCTATTTATAGACAGGGTCTCCTTATAATGACCCCAGCTGGCCCCAAATTAATGATCCTCCTGCCTCAGTCACTCTAATGCTAGGATTATTGGTATGTGCTATTACACAAGACCTGGCTATCTAATTTATATGTGAATACAAATATCTAGTGTTGATTAGCATGTGTGGAATCATGCTGGTGACATGAGAGTATATATTGCTTTGATTTTTCCAGAGGGCAATTTGAAAATATTTATATCAAAAATCCAACCTTTAAAATGTCCACCTGGCCAGTCCACATTTAGAAAATTTAAAGCCAGAAATAATTGGGCCAGGTGTGGTGGTGCATACTTGTAATTTCAATACTTAGGAGGTTGGAGGTAGGGAGAATCAGGAGTTCAAGGCCAGCCAGGTAACATGACTCTTTCATAACCCCATCACTCTCACCTTCTTTATTTATGTGTATGAGTATACTGCCTGAATGTATATAAGTGCACCCGTATCATGCAATGCCTGCGGAGGTCAGAAGAGGCTGTCAAATCCCCTGGAACTGGAGTTACAGTTACTAGCCACCATGTGGATGCTGGGAATCGAACCCAGGTCCTCTGCAAGAGCAGCCAGTGCTCCTAACCATTGTGCCATCTCTTCAGCCCAAAAGCATCATTTAAAAAGATTTGTTTTTTGAAACAAGGTCTCCTCGTAGTCCCTGGAACTTGCTATGTACAGACTAGGCTAGCCTCAATCTCATATAGAAATCTGCTTGCCTCTGCCTCCTGAGTACTGAGATTAAAGGTGTGTGCCACAACACTCGTGGACTTAAAAGATTATTTTTATTATTTTTAATTATGTGTATGTGTGTGTGTGGGTATGTACATATGCATGCAGGTGCCCCTGGAGGCCAAAGGTGTTGGATCCTCTGGAGCTGGAGTTACATGTGAAGGGAATCAGACTCAGGTCCTTGGGTCCTCTACAAGAGCACTGAGTCATCTCTCCAGTCCCCAGTAGCATTTTAGAAGTGTTAAACTGGCAACAACCCATATTCCCTACATAAAAGCTATGCTCAAAATACCTAGCTTTCTTATGTAATATCTTCAGAGACTTTTTAGTATGTGGTGGCACAGACCTGTAATCCCAGCCCTGGGAAGGCAGAGGCAAGTAATCTTTGTGAGCTGGAGGCCAGCCTGGTCTATACAGTGAAGTGAACGAAATGTCAGAATGATCCTAGAATGGGAATTTGTTTTCCTTCTTTCCTTTTGGGTGCTGGACATAGAATCCCTACCGCCGCAAATGCTTAAACAAGCCACGTGCCTAGCCCCGGCTCTAATTTTATTCCCAATAATATTCCTAATAATTTCCCGCATCTGACATATTTTGTATAAACTCTGGCGGAAAGAGGTTGTTATCTAGGACAAACTGACCACCGACTGAGTGGTTAGTGACAGTATCCCACGACTCAGCCCCACCCGAGGCTGGAGTCCCCTTTCTACCGCAGCTGTCTCTGGCTTTCTCGGGGCTTGTGTAAAACGAGGGGTCACGCGCTCGAGATCTGGGGCTCTTAACTGTGAAATACCCCACGTTTTAAGGTTGCCCTGTGGACTGGAGGCCAGGGTGGCGTGGCAAGCGGAGCTCGGCGAGGCAGGGGCTGCAGACTTCAGCCCGCAGCCGTCAGCTGCGCTCCTGGGTCGGCGGCCTAGCCACGGTTCTGCAGAGCGGCCCCTGGGCCCTCCTAGAGCCGGTGCGGCCTGCGTTCCGAGGGAAGGTGTCTCCGGTGACTTTTGCGTCATCGGGTGGAAAGCCTCCGGCCAGTCACGTCCCTAACTGCCACCCACTCTCTGGCGTGAGTGTGCCGAGTTTAGACTCCTGCGCATTTTAAACCATTTCAGACAACTCCAGGTTTCAAACACGGCTAAGAAGGTAATATTTTGCGTAAAGTAGTACTAAAAACCAAGATATTCGACCTACACATTTTAGCTATCATTTCCAAGGAGGCCTTGAAACATTCAACCTGGAGATATGCGAAAAAACTGCACGTCCCGAGCCAGCCAGGAGTCGAACCTAGAATCTTCTGATCCGTAGTCAGACGCGTTATCCATTGCGCCACTGGCCCAGTCCTAAAGAAAACTTCTCTGCAATGGCTGATCTCCGATTACGCAGTTTCAGCAGGCTTCCTGCCACCCACTCTCCATTCCTGCCTGTTCGCCCAGCATCTCGCCGCCGGCCCACGACTCCCGGTACTCCGCCTGTCCCCGCAGCGCGCTCCACCAATCAGCAGACAGTACGTCACGACGCTCTTTGGTCCGCTCCAATCCGCACGTCGCCGGCGTATTTCTCCCGCCCCTGCGCTAGCACTGGTTTGTCCGCCGCCGCCTCCCGTACACCCCCTCCAGGCGGGGGCGGGGCCGGGGGGTGGGTGGGACTAGGCCCAGGCCCCTTGGCCACCGTGACCGGTGAGCTGCAGCGCGGGAATAGGGGTGGCGTCGCGGCACGCAGCGGGCGGAGCGAAGAGGAAGGAGGTGGTGGTGCAGGATGGCGGCGGTCTACGAGCAGCTGAAGCTGTGAGTCCCGCGGGCCGCGCCGCTGACCAGGAAGGGCTGAGGGGCTGACGGGCGCGGGTGGAGCCGGAATCCGCTTAGCTGATGGGCGCGTCCGCCTCGGCCCGCTCCGGTCCTACCGGGCCGCAGCGTTGGCCCGGAGCCCTACGGCCCCGCTCCGGCCCGCGGTTGCGGGAGAGGCGGCGGCCCGGGTTCCCTGCGTGGCACGGCGGGGAAGAGCGAAGCCTGACTGGACCTCCGCGAGCGCCTTGACATCCGCACGTAGAGCAAGCCTTTCTCTAGTTTCTTGGGCCTGGAGCCGCCGTGACCGGACCATAGGGTGCAGCAGAAATGTCCTCTCTAGGGACCGAGGGATTTACTGCGGTTAAGTCTCTAGTCCGCATTGACAGAGGCTCGCCTCTAGTTAGGGCATTGCAAAACTGAGTTTTTCGCAAAGCCAGGCACTCGAGGGTTTTTAAACCTAGTCTCTGATTGTTTTAAGAGTTGTGAAAAACAGACATTTGCAAGCGCTTTGGCTCGTCCTGGGCAGATAACTAGTTTCTTTCTTTTGGTGTTAACCCTAAGCACCTGCCTGCACTTTTCTTGTCGGTGGATAACTTTGCTGTAATCCTTTAATGCATTACCTTGAGATTGAAAGTCACGGGAACATAGTTTGGAAATGTCTCTGGCAATGGAAGCGAATGTCACTTTTGAAAAACTAAGTTTAGCTATGTTGTACATAAAGGTAGGCATCATATTTCATTTGCAGGGAGACAAGGATATGAAAATGTGGTTTGAATGCTCTTTATGAATAGCTCTGAAAAGTTCATTGTAAAGTTAGGAGTGCAAAATTAGGAGGAAACCACCTCCCAACACCATGTTTCAGAGAAAAGTTGATGATTGCTTTTTCTGCAGTCTTGTCCGTCCCTCCCCCTTCCACTTATGACAGTTCTTTTTGAAAACCCATGCACTCTCCACATATCCTCCTGTAATTCTCTTGTGCAAGGTGATCAGTCACCTTGTGGGTGACAGTTGAAACAAAGTGACTTAGTCTAGGTTGGGCCAGCAGTCACATGTACTTTGCTGGCTGGCAAATTAGGTTATTGTCTATCCGATAGGGGCTGAAGGGTTGAATGTGATCCTATCCCAGGTTTCAGGTGTGTTTAAGTGATACGGAGCCTTGGCTTGACGCAGCTCAGCTTTAAGCTACAGGATGCAGTTGAAATTTCCTGCTGCAAAGAATGAATGAGATGGAGCCCTTGAGAATTATGAGGGTTCTTTTTGAGCTGCCCAGGCACTAAATCTTACCACTCCAGGTCTTAAAACAAGCAGAACCTTCTGGATCCATCAAAGAGAAAGTAAATTTATACTTAAGTGGTGGGAATAATGGTTTTATATTGATTTTTGTGAGAAGTGGAAACTGTAAATTTGAGTAAGAAAGGGAATCTGGGGTTATGTGAAAGTCATCATCAGTCTTTAGGTTTTGAGTCCTTCTGTAAATGTAGAGCTAGAAATCGTTGCAAGTTTGTTTTTCTTTAGCCAGGGCTTGTGGGTTGGAATCTCTGTTTTCATTCCTTCCTTTTGGTCTTCCTGTTTAAGCTTTTAAATGTAGTCCTGGAGCAAGAAACATTCTTTTGAAGAGTCCTTTATAGGTGGAATTAGTTGTTGACCTGTATAAGAATTGGTAGGATATAGTAGCCGTTTTAATATGCCTAAAAAGTGCCATAGGAAGAAGTTACTTTATTATAGAGTCTTGCTTCTGAACTTATTTAAATGTTGAAGTGTTGGGATTTTAAATAACTTTCTACATTATGTCATTCTTCAGTCTGTTTCTGCCCTGTTAAAGTTGACCTTGTGGATGTGCAATCCATCCTCTGATTCCCAGTTGACAATTTCCACTTCTAGTTTATTGACTACAGAGTCCAGTGCACATTTCTTAGCCACCTGTATTCTGACCTCTTTGTAATCTTGTAACTTTACTTCCTGCAAGTCCCCAGGCTTGGCTCTTTCTTTTCTAGCTTCAAACTCGGTTTATTTTGATCCTTCTGCCCATAGTGCTTTTTTCACCTCTCTTGTGTACATGCTGATATATCTGTGGTAGGGAAGGGAGATACCAGTTTGTTTTGTCCGAACAGACCTAGATTAAATTCTTAAACTTGCTACTTGCTTTGTTTCTCTGAATAATTTTTTCTTAATTTTGAAAATATGAGTGTTAATACTTCATAGGGATGAGAAGTTTGTGGATAAAATACCCAAGGTACCTCATAGATACATACCTTCTCTGAGAGTCTTTTCTTTCCCTCCATTGAGCTCTCATATTGTTTTTGAAGTCAAAAGTGAGAATGTACTGTCACAGGGATTGGGTACAAAATATCCATATGATTTACACATTGCATTTACTGTCTCATGGATGGGAACATTGAAAGCTGGAATGACCAATTCATAAAACTGTTCGAATCATTAATTTTGCCATGTGAGACGGTGTAATAGCCATATATTGTTTCTCCAGCAGGTTTAGGTATCTAGAATGTGATCAACCCTTTAATGTTGACTTGTAATACTCCTCTTACATACTCAGCATGAACTTTTCGAGGAGCAGCTTCTCAGTAGATCTTCTGAGTAAATGAGCTTTCCAGTATAGACCACCTCAAGAAGAGCACAGGCTGAGAGCGGTTGGAATGCATTCTTTTGAAGAAGCAGGGGCTTAAACCATCTCAATGAATATTATTGTCAATGCCTCTGTGAAGTCATAGGTTGATACCTAGTCTGCTATTGTTGAAGATTGTCAGGTAGTCCTTGTCACACAGGTCACACACCAAGCTTTGGCAGAGCTGACTTTGAAACATAGTTGGCCTGGAGTCCAGAGGTCTTTCCATTACACTGCATTATTCAAATGACCTTTTCTTCTCTTTTTTTTTTTTTCCCCCCCCTTTGGTCTTTTTGAGACAGGGTCTCCCTACTGTGTAGCCCCAGCTGCCCTGGAACTCACTATGTAGACCAGTCTGGCCTTGAACTCACAGAGATCTGTCTGCCTCTGCCTCTGCCTCTGCATATGCCACCACGCCTGGCAACCTTTTCTTTTATCAGATTGCTCTCCTCTTACTTATGGACATGACAGTTAGAAAAATGAGTCACTTGTAAAAGAAAGTAGTTATATGTCCATGTAGGTTCAAGGCTGGCCCTGAGTTCCCCATTCATCTGCCTCAGTCTCCCAAGTACTTGGATTACAGGTATGTGCCAACACATCTAGCTTTTTAGATAGTTGCATAAGCATGGATAGTGTCAGACACAATGATTTTGAAATTGCAAAAGTGAAAAATACATTATTGGATAATATTAAAACTGCCCCCCCCACCCTTTTTTTTTTCTTTAAGTATCAGCTGAAACTAGATGTAAGGCAAAGAATTTTTTCAGATATGTCCAGCTTTTTGACATTGCAGGATAACATCATCTTTTACAAAGTTCACCCTCAAGAACCATGCTATCAAGTTATAAAAAAAAAAAAGCCAAGAAAATTAGAAAAACTTTTAAGTAAATTGATGATTTTGCATTGAGCTGCATTCATTGCTGACTATTCTCAATCACATGTGGGCCATAGGGTGAACATGCCTGCTAGATCCTGAATCAGGTGGCAGCTTACTTTTGAAGAAATAGTATCCCCCAGGAATTTGCCTTTGTATAACATTCTCATAACTCTATGATCAGTCAGGAGAGATGTGATGCAGTCCAGAGATGAGATGCCATTTACCTTCACTGCAGTGAAGACATGTATGATATGTCCAGTACAGTGAACTCTTGGCTCATAATCACAGCTTTGCATGGAGGGAAGGATGCAGCTCAGCTAAGGTTTTCTTTGTGAAATTAGGCACTGATGATAAGAGACTCTGTCCAGGGAAGGCATTACTTGGATGAGAGTTCAGAATAGAAAGTTTAGGTTAGTGTTTGAGACAGGGTCTCCTGTAGCTCAGGTTGTCCTTGAGCTTGAGGATGATCCTTTTGCTTCTGTCTCCTACATGCTGGGATTACAAATGTGTACCACCACACTGGGCTTTAGAGGAGTTAAGATCTGGTTGTTAGGAGTCTAATCATTAGGGAATGGGTTTTAGAGTGTATAGGGAATAGGAAGTCGGTGGACCAGGGAGTTTTGAAGAAGTGGAAAAATGAATTAGCTTCCTAGAGATGTGAGCTGGTTTTAGGATTGCTCTGGGCCTCTGATGAACCTGTGCTGTAGGAGAGGCACCTAAAGAGAGACTGAAGGATATCCTTTTGGAACCCAAAGGCAGGTTGTGTAAATACCTTCTGCATATGGTATAGTGGGCCCAGAGGACCCAGGACCCTTTATGTCTAAGTTCTTTTTCCTAACCAAATCTAGTAAACATTATGTCTGTCTTTCTAACCAGAGATACATAAAAATGTTAAGATTTTGATTTACTTCTTTTAAGATTTCTGAGGAAATATGTTACTACAGTTTTATGACATGACAGCCACATTTCTATGCCAATAGTAATTTTTAAAATTATTACATATGATAAAATACTTGTAAAAAATCTACTGTCTTAACCATTTTTAGGCATACAGCTCTATGACACTGCTTTTACCTTGATGTATACCATTATTATTGTGCATGTCAAGAGTTCTTTTCATTTTGCAAAACTAAACTATTCCTTCCTTCCCCGCAGCCTCTGGCAACCACCATTCTCCTTTGTATTTGAATGAATTTGACTTGTCATTCTAGGTTCCTCATTTAAGTGGAATCACATAGTATTTTTCCTTTGTGACTTTTATTTCACTTAGCATAATGCTTCAAAGTTCACTGATGTAGCATATGCCAGAATTAACATTTTTTTGGAGGCAGGGTCTCACTATGTAGCCCTGGCTAGCCTGGAAGTTGCTGTGTAGACTAGGCTTGTCTTAAACACACAGAGATCCACTTGCTTCTGCCTCTAGAGTCCTGAGATTAAAGGCATGCCCAACCATGAGAATTTTTGGAAAAACAATTTCATTGAATTTTTGTGTATTTCATA